AGTTGAAGCAAAAACTTGGCTTGATGACGAATTACTGTGAATAGGAATCACGACCGCTCAATGATAACCGAATATTTTTGGCACAAATAGGATGATATGGACTGGGACTAACAGGACGACGCCACAAACCACACAGCGAATGGCACAATCGATTTATTGAAAAGTAAGCTTGGTGCACGGGTTATCTCACGAAATGRCCTAGTCAATTGGCYGTCTCGATTGTGCGATTTGACGCCCTTGGACTGTTTCTGGTGGGGCTACGGCAAGTCTATGGTCTACGCCAACAAGCCAGCGACGAGTGATGAACTTCGTTTCAATATCGAGTATGAAATTGCAACAGTATCGACCGATTTATGCTTGAAAACCGTCGAAAATTGGGCTTAGATTCTGGATTTCTGGAAGCGTGCCTGGTTTTTTAAGTTTTTTAGCGCTCTTATTGAAAACCCCATCATACACCTGCGATCAAATTGAAAGGTGAATTTTTAATTTATGCTTCACGTGTTCGTCGGATCGGTAACTTGGGAGCACTGTTAGTGACATCTATGTCAAAATATTTATTAGTACTTGAGATACGCGTCATTTTGTGAGGCTCTAAAAGTGAATTCTTTGATCTTTACTATGTCTGAATTTATTGAAAAAAGAAGTGCTATAATACACCATCTCATACTGCATTGGTTATTCGTGAACATTTCGCCACATCTTCAACTAATATCGTGCTACCTGTTTTGGCACCGTGTAATAGCGGGCTATTCAGAAAATTCACATGACCACACCGAAGACGCCGTTTCGACTTAGTATAGTATTAGGATATAAAAGCTGAATCGAAGAAGGATCTGATGGCCATCACAACGGAGGATTTTTCCAAGTGATAGGATGACTGGAAAATTCTTAACATAAATGTACTGCAGCGGGAGGGGATTATTTTGAAGGAGTTAACATGGATTTGCAAGAATAAATAAAGATTTTAAAAATATAACAAATCCACCTTTCAATTTGAACACTGTAGTATAGAGTGCTCCACAACCAAAAGATTGGAATATATACTATTAGAATTAGAACTAATTGGTTGAAGTCTTCTTAATTGTTTTAAAATACGTAGAAAAGCTTGCCTGAGGTGAATTTTGTATACGCAAAAGTAGGAAACAAGGGTGAAAATATATAATATATTTTAAAAGTATGAAACAGTCTTAGTTATGTACCTTACATGACATCATTCTGTTTCCCAACCCACGCAAATTCATTGAGTTCAATCTTTTGTTACATACATATTTACTACATATAACGGAAATTCGTCACCCACTTGTGTTTATTGAAATATATTCGAAGGGGTCATGGAGGTCCATTACATGTGTACGAGGTATACGATGACATACTTACACAAGCAACATTGTTGAGATTGCAAGTGGCATCTGTCCATCCCTTGTTGTCTTTCAAAAGGCTTGTGGTCTTGCAAAGTCTTTGTGACCGTTTGACGTGCTGGGAGGCAAGCAGCTGTGCAATTGTTTGAGGGCAAAGTATTCAATAAAATTGAGTGGGTATGCATATGTATATGAAGTGTGAGTACCAGGTTCATGTAGTTGATATGTTACATGGTTCAAGTATCATGCTTCAAATGCAATGGGCTACGGAAGTTATATAGGACGTTTGTATGGAGTAGAAGTGAGATATTTCGAAGTATTTTGAAGTCTTTTGAAAGTAAACGTATTGCTTCATCTTAGGTACATCAAACATCATCTTAGGTGTGTGATTGGACTAAAATTTGCGTAATACCCTAAATGTAGGCAATATTTAGGTACAAACTACTACTAGGAGCTTCACCAGGAAGTTTTTACCGACCTAAGTTGCATAAAACGGTGTGTGACTTGACTAAACTGTGTGTGATATCCTAAATGTAGGAAAAATTTAGGTTTCAAGTATTTCTTATCGACAAGAATATATGTGGTAGCTTGTTTAATTAGCAATTTTCTGTTTCGTGTTTCTCTCGTAGTCATGAAAATTAAGKTTTTACGTTATTGGACGCTTGAAAAATAGCGTTGTTTCATGCTAAACTCATAATATTCTTCTACTCACCTATATGTGTGTCAAATTGTACTGGGCTCTCGAGTTCAAGCAACGCCAAATCATTTTCGAATGTCGCCGGATCGTATTGACGGTGGACAATGACTCGCTTCACATTCTTCGTAACAGCACGTTTACTCTCCAAATCGCCTGAGATATCAAACTCACCCATAACAGCGACTAACGAGGCMAGGAAACTGTTGGGGTGGAATGAAAGAATAAAAATTGGAAACAAAAGTWTAGCATTATTACTTACCCCGGCTGACAATGCGCCGCTGTGATGACATAACGATTCGTTATCAAAACGCCGCCACATTTGTTCTTGGTAAAAAGTCCCAACCATGTGGATTCACGTACGAGCACTTGCCATGGGTAAGCGCCGAATGTGGAACCTTTGCCGCCTACAATTCTGCCAGATTTGATGTGTGGCCGTACGCCGCATTCTGTCGATGGGGAGTGAAATGTGAGGTTAGGAGGTAAGGGAGAGTATAGCAACAGCATAGATGAGTGTTTTGCGAGGTGACGCTGGTCGGTGCTGGTTGGTGATGCGATTGATTAACTGTTATGATGCCGAGTTGGATAATGGTGAAGGTGAAGGTGTTGTGGTGAATGTGAAAATGCTTTGTGATAATTGTGGGAGTGCTTGAGTTGCGTACAACTTCAATGGACTTGAGAGTTAAGGTTCAGTTTCACAGGGAAAAACTTGAATGAAATATTTCCGGACTGTATGTATGTGGATGGAGGAGTTTAAATGGAATGAAGTATAGCGCGGTGAGATAGGTGAAGTAGGCAATTCGGGACTTAAGCAAGATAGATTTTTGTACTTGAGTTTGACTCAAACGTAGGCAACGTTAAGAGGGCAAGTATATGGGATGATATGGTGAAGATGGAGAAGAAATGTCGACTTGTCAGGTTAAGTAGGGAAAGTCTAAGATGAGGTATGTTTATAAGGATGAGTTTTTTAGAGATTTTTTTTCATAGAACGATGGGGATGATTGTCTGAAATATTCTTAAAATGGTGGCTTTTAGAGGAGGGCATATATTTGGCTGAACAGACGCACTGTGATGAAGAAGTCCGACGTTTATTTAGGGGTTAATGTAGTTATATGCGTGCAGGGGTTAGTCAAGTATGACGTGTTAATAAAAGTGTGTCAGTGATCGGCAGACAAGTGCGAGAAGCGTTTTACAAGCSAGTGTGCGAGCAGGTGAATAAACGGTTTTCAATGCAGTTATGTGCGTGAGAGCGTGCATGTGTATGCGTGCATGAGTGTATGTCGCGTGCGTGCGTGGATTGCGGAGTTGAGTCAAAACGGGGCAAAAGGARCGTGTGTGGTTGGGGAGGTGAGGGTGAGTGGGAGAGTTTAGTGTAAGTGGGTGGTGACAAATTAGAAAGAAAAAGAAACAGAGTCGTTTCGGATTCTATGCATGGCAAACTAATTCAACACAAAAATCAAATCATAAACAACAAAAAAACACTTTGCCGTCACCAATACGGCAAGTACTTACTAAATTTGCGTCCACCAGCGCCAGCATAAACTTCATCCTGGTCACCGATCTCATTATCCAACGGATTTACGTCCTCTTCATCCTCTTCRTCCACCAACTCATCTTGGGCTGGTGCTTGCGTTGTTGTTGTGGTCGTTAAACGACGTGTCGGCTTGCGCGTAGTCGGCCGACGYGTGGTTGTTGTGGGACGTCGCGTAGCCGGACGTCTGGTAGTGTTTGCCGGTCGACGCGTCGGTTGTTTGGTGGTAACACGTGTTGCTGGTCGTCGCGTGGTCGGTTTTTGTGTGGCTATTCGTGTTGGTTTTCTTGTCGGTTTGCGTGTTGTAGCCGCGCTACCAGCGCCTGCGCCGGCCGCTTGATATGTTGCTGGTGGTCCGGCCGGCGCAGTGTTATTTGATTCGTCAATCATGTCGGCCAGCGCGTCGAAGTTGCCCTGCAGCGATTCGACAATCTTGTGCACTAAAGTGTTCATTTTGTCCTTCAAAACACCGTCTTCAACGAAGGCAGGTGTCGACAGTTCCAAATCGGTAGTGACGGCGCTCGATGTTGCCGACATATTGAGGTTGGGATTACGCACAGGTGGGAAGTTCACAAAGTCATTGGGCGAAGTGTAGGTTTCCTCTTCGACTGGCGCGCCCAGTTTCTCACCAGGTATGGCGAATGGCGGATAAGTGGGTGTTGGTCCATAGTAGCCTGGGAATGCGGGACGATCATCGGAGGGTACACCATACTCGGTATCGGCTATCGATTGCGTGAAGGCCGGATGCACACCATTCTGCGCAACGTTTTGTGCGACATGCTGCGCACCATAGTAACCTGGATCATCGAAGTCATTCGTTGTGACACCGGCTAGGTTGACATATTCGGGCGTGTTTATAGCCAAGTCGGGCCGCCGCGTCACCACGGGACTATARATATATGAGGTGCTGCTGAAGGCGGGCAATGRCGTTGTTGGCGGGAATGCATTGTCATCGTAGATCGTGCCGGCGCTGCTCGGTCTTTGTGGCCAATCATTATTTGTGATGAGTGTGAATAGCGTTGGCTTGGGTGTAATAACACCATTTGTGGTGGATATCGGTTTCGATGTTACCTTCACGAAACCAGGTTTTTTATGTACGTATGTGTATTGTGGACGGTCCGCATATTGTGGCTTTGCATCACCGCCATAAACTTGCGATTGCACAGTACCGTGTACGAAAACGTCGAGCTTATCATCGGCCGTTACGATTGGCGGTACCTCGGAATCGTGGTAAATAAATGTTGTGGATGGACGAGATGTGGTTGGTGTTGCGCTTTCCACACTTGGTTTGCGTACAATAATGGGTCGATTTGTGGAGCCGCCCAACGGTTGTGGCGCTGGATAATATGCGTCCGATTCGAAAGTGGGTTGTGGTACTTTAACATTTTGATCGTAGACAGCATCTGGTTTATCATAGTCTTGACCATAGTCTTGTGAGGTTAGTTTAGTATCTGGTGCATAAGTGTCATAGTTGTCTGTTGACAACTGTGCATCCTGTTCGGGCAGATTTTGTTCATCCACATGGTCGTCGTAGATGGCAGCCGTGTGACTGATGGGTTTTTGTGTCGCCGCAGTGGTACCATAAGTATTATCATTGTATGCATTTGTCGACTGACTGGCTGGTTTCCTGGTCACAGGCTCCGCATTGTAGGTGGGTTGTTGCTCTGGTCGCTGGTATACCGGCTCAACATTAAAGGTATTTGCAGCGGGTTTTGCGCTATAGTTGTTGCTGGGCTGTGGCGTTGCAGTAGGACGCTTTATGTATGTGGGTTTGTTGTGCTGGTAGGTGCTAGCCGGTTGTTTCACTGGCCGCTTCACACTTTGTTTGGTGGGTTGTTTCGATGGTTTCTTCGCAGGTTGTTGCGTTTGCACTGGTCGCTGCACATATGCGTTCTCTGGAGCGTTGTCATTATACGTGCTGGATGGTTGTTGTGCYGGTTTCTTCTTATTGTAGTTGGGTTCTTGATAGTCGTTCGAGAGTTGCGCTGTTGGCTTCTTGGTATTGACATTTGGCGCTTGATAATTGTTAGCGAGTTGTGAGGCTGGTTTCTTGGTATTTTGCGTTGGACTTTGATAGTTGTTCGGGGGTTGTGCAGCTGGTTTCTTTGTTTGCACCTGCTCGCCGCCATAATTATTGGCAGGTTGCGCTGCTGTGTGGCTATAAGTACTCAATGGTCTGGCAGTGGTGGGTTTCTTTGCTGCACTCGGTTTCTTTTTGTTATTCGGACGTGTAGTACTCGGTTTTGGACGTGGYCGCGGGCGTGGTCTAGTACCGCTCGAGGTGATTATACCGGAAATAGGACGTGCTGTTGAGGTGACAKCAACAGGTTCGRCGCTATATTGTGGACGTGGTGGTATCGGCGTTGTAGTTGGAGTCAAATWGGCCGATGCGGTTGTCTTGCTAATTGTTGGACGTTGTGCGAYCGTGCTTTTGTCAACATATTGGATTGTGCTCAATGTGTCTGGTTTAGGTGTATGATAGGACGCCGAAGCTGCCTGTGTATCTTGTACTTTAGTCGCATGCGAAGAGACAGATACTTCCTGCGGCACATCACTGTACACAACGGTCGTTGGCAATTTGGCGCCATTGTAATTCTGCACATTCACCATACCAACATACGGCGCTACGGGACGTTGTGGCTTGCCACTAATAATAGGTACCTGTGCGTAGCTCGAGTCCGCTGTTTCAGCTTCATCTATTTTGTCGATTGTGCCCTGGGTGGTTGCATGTTGTACATGACCGTAATTGCTTGCAACATCTGGTGCAAAGTTGCCCTCTTCCTCCATATGCGACATATCAACTGGATAGGCAATACCGAGCACGGGCATTTTGTTGAACTCGTGCGTCTGGTGTGACGACGCTTGCAATACATCGTTATAATTATTTGCCGGTATCGTGTGTTCGTCCAGCGCAGCGGCAGCGTCTTCCGCATAATTGCCAGCGGTCGTTGAACTTTGCACTTCGTGTGTGACTGCGCTGACAGATGGCTTTGACACATACGAATGTGAAGGCTGTTGTTGTGCGGAATGTAGGTCGGTGCTTTCAGTCTCCAAATATGCGGGTACTTGCGCTGTGACCGGCGAGTAGTTCGGCGTATTCGATTGTTCACTTTCGGTATAGTAATCCTCTGGGCGCTTGGTCTCCACTTCATCATAGTAATTTGTTGTTGCACCGCCATACACTAATTCGCCTGTTGTGATAGGTGTTGTTGTGCCATAATATGTACCGCTACCGGCTGGTTCATATTTGCTTGCCGATGCATCGCCTGCCGCATCATAAGAACTCGTTTGCGGTTGTTGCTGACTGACAATATTATAGGTGGGTCCATGGTTTGTGGTGCCATTCAACTGCAGTATTATAGATTCGATGGAGTCTACATGTGTGGTGATGGAGGTGCCCGTTGTGGGCTCACCATATGTGGGTGGTTTTTTACTAGCCTCCTCATCGTGTACGCTCTGCACTAAATCGTATTTGTCCTCGGGCGCTAATGACGTATGCGTTGTTGTTGTAGTGGTTGTTGGTTGATAGCTGATAGGCGAAGGTTGRCGTACAGGCGCTTCCATGTACACCGGCTGTGGCCCATAGCCGGTTGAGAATTGCAGATCATCCTCGATTAAGTCGGCATCGGCGCCAGGATGTGTGATGTCGCTATGCGTGAACTCGGCGCCGTCAAGTATGAGATGGTTGTGGTTATGTTGCTGTTGCTGTTGCTGTTGTGGTTTCTGTTTATGTTGTTGTGCCTGTTGCACTTGTGGTCGGGACGGTTGCCTTTGTGGTTGTGGCCGAAACATTTGTACTTGTGGTCGCTTGGTTTGTTGCTGTGGCTTTGGTKTGGGTTTGGGTTGCGGTTTGGCCGTTTGTTGCTCTTGCGGCTCGGTTTTCGAATCTTCTTCCGTCGTATTCGCTTCCCAGTCRTTGGCTTGCACCGGATTTTGTGTTACTGGCAACTCTTCGAAGGAGTTCGACTCCGATGAGCTGTTTGGTTCGGTGAGTCCATTCACAATGCGMATTGGCAGACCCGTTGTGGTTAGCGAGGTCGGCTCTTCTTCGAGTGATGGCGGTAATGTGGTGCTTAGCAGGTCCAAAACGAAGTCATCGTTTAGTGGTGGGCCTGCGGTGGTGAAAGATACATGTACACTATTGGTATTTGCAACAACTTGATCCGGCTGCATTTGTGCTTCCTTCTCCCACTCTACGCTAGAAGATTGCGTGCTCGAATCATCACTAGCCAAACTAGACTGTGAAGCGCCCTCAAACGAGATATCTTGATTTTCGTGCTGTTGTTGCTGCTGCGCCTGTTGTTCTTGTTGTTTCTCTTGCTGTTGTTGCTGTAACTCCTCCTCCTGCTGTTGACTATCAGCTTGTTGACTCTCCATTTGCATGGATTGCGCTTGCTCGTAATAGGAAGCAGTGGGTCCAACTGACGGTTGAATTTCCTGTTGTGCGCTTTCCAGCGACTCCATCATATACAGGTTGCTTGTGTTGGACCCTGATTCCTGCGTTTGATACTTGTTACTGGCCGCGTCTTCTAGCTGCGTCTGCAGCGCTTCGTAGGAAGTTGCTGCGCTGCTGCTACTCTCAAGCTGCTGGAAGACTTTATCTATATTTGTTTGCGTGTAACTGTTTTCGGGTTGCTTAAGCTCTTCGGATGGCGTGTCCCCCACATCACCATAGATGGGCATCGGTAGCTGTGGCTTGTATTTCTGCTGTTGTTGCGGCTTCTGTATGCGCTGTGGCTTTGTTTTTGGCTTGAATGTTGGCGGACTGTATTTGGTCTCTTGTGAGTGCTGTTGCTGACTCTCGCCATATGTTTCGTAAGATTGTGCCACCGCTTGGTTGGCGCCGCCATACTCATCTTGCAACTTTTGCTGTTGGTGTTGTTGATAGTAGGAGTTCTGTGCATCATTTAGCAGCGTAGTCTCCAGATCCTGTTCACTGGGTATTTGGCAACACGCGCCAAAGAGGAAACCATCCATACACGCGCCTACCACTTCACCATTCCGTTGCGCACACTCGTGATTGAACATACAGATTGTGGGTCCATTTTTACGTGGGTCATTCATCGCTAGCGTTTTGGTGGCGCGACAATGCTTCGGTGTTATCCGGTAGCCGCCGAAGAGTTTTCGTCCTTCTGGAAGGTGAACAAGAGGAAAATGGAATTAGGGTTTTATTAAAGGATATTTTTTTTAAATAATGAAACGATAAATATGTAGAGTTTAGTCATTTAATCTGAAATGGGATATAATACGAAATATTTGTCTCGAGGAACGAAATTTGCAGTTTAGATCCCCTATTTTTTGAACTTACCAACTGTAAAAAGTACACCTGAAAGTTTTACATATTATTTGCTTTAGATAGGTGCTATTATTTGCTTTATTTTTATAATAGCTCATTTCCGAGACATAGATTATACATTATTTGATTATATCTTGGTACAGAGTTGCCATCGGTTGGAAAATATTATAAATATTAAAAAAAATTTTATTGAATAAAAGGCAAAGTCTTATGAACTGCATTTGCAAAATCCTTCATTAAGACCCACTTTGAAAAAGAGTTGCAACCCTACTAAATTTTTGAAACTGAAAAAAGATTACAAAAGGCTAGTGAAAAGTGAAACGTTTGAAAACACCTTATATAATTTCAGCAAAATTTTTCCATAGAGTTGCCACCTTGCCAAATTTTATGAAAAATATATTTTTTAACATTACARATAGAGTTGCCATATATCAAAATAAAGCAAAATGTTGGAAAAAGAAAATTGCTAATATTTTAAGTATTTGCCGAATATAAGCAAAATCTAAAAAGTGCATTTGGAAAATCCTTAATTTAGAATCATTTAGAAACAGAGTTGCCACCTTAATTCATTATTTTAAATATAATACCTTAAATAAATACAATTTTTAAATTATAATAAAAAGTAAAAAGACTTGGATAATTTAGGCATATTTTTAAATAGAGTTGCCACCTTGCCAAATTTATACAAAATATATTTTTTTCCTTAATATTACAAAATGCGTGCGAAATAAAAAATGTTTGAGAAAACTTTAAATCATTTTAACATATTTTTAAATAGAGTTGCCACCTTACCAAATTTATATTTTTTTTAACTTTCAAAATTGCTTACATAATGTAAAACGTTTGAAAAAACCTTAGATAATTTTGACATATATTAAAATAGTGTTGCCACCTTGTTTAATTTATAAAAAAAAAATTTTGTTACTGTAATATTTTAACAAAAAAAAATTTTGCCTGTGGATTTTGAAATATTTAACAGAACTTTAAGTAATGTCGACATATTTTGAAATAKAGTTGCCACCTATTGAAAAAACATAGTTGAAAAAAATATTACGATATGTATCCAAAACAGGCGCTTAACGATACATAATATTTTCTAGTTGTATTATGAGATGTAATTGTCACCTGAAGTTTTCGATATTTCGATATTCTGAGAAATTTCTTCATTACCTAATAGTTGTATTTTTCACAGCTTCAAAGTGAACTTAAATTGCAATTACATAACTTAATTAACTGAATTACTCATTCAACTAATCCTATCACTCAGAGAAATCTAAGTTCGTTGCCATCGCAAATCGAAAGCAGTTACCTGCTATAATTAACCTAACCTAGTTTGTACCTCAATCGAGCAACTCGAGAAGAAAACTGTTTCAAGTTTCAATTTACGTACTCTTCACTGCTCGGGTTAAAGTGAAAACTGAGAGCAAAAAAAAAAAAAAAACAAAAAATGATTAGGCAAGTTGCAATGAAAATGGACAATTTGTAATTATAGAGTACTGACAAAGTTAAAATGCACAGTCAGAATATAGAGTGAATGAAAGGGAAAATTTATGAAAGAAAAATATATTGAACGAAAATAACCTTTGGTATTTGTAAGGTTATGAACGCTTGAAACAGTACATATAGCTTAATACACTTAAGTATCTTTATTATATTAACACACTCACTTTCTCTCTCGATAAAACACGTTAGTGCTCTCTATATATTGTTGAAAATATCGAAGCAGCAACTAAGAATAAAATATTTCCTGTATAAAGTCTTCTCTATCTTCTTTCAAAGCTCACCTATTTGTTTTAATTTGTTCATGTCAGTCAACAGATTTGTCATTCTCAAAAGATTACTTTCCGCGCAAAGTCAATCTATTTATCATTAATTTCCTTTTTGCTCTCCTATCAACATTAACTTAGCCTTCTATGACGACGGGCTGCTGCTGAAGATGTACTCACTCATTAATTAGTTTAAATTGTGGTGTGTGTTGTGCGAGAATCGGTCTTTTATTTTTCTTTTTTGGGTGCTCTTTGACTTCATTGCGCGCTTCTGAGTCACCTCGTTTTTTTCTATTATGATTTAAGTTATGTTATTTCATTGAATAATTTTTGAACTGTTTTAAAACATATGTTGAGGTTGTGAAATTTTTGAATGGGAAATTTCAAATTTACTGTTTTGATTTTATAGAATTAGAGTTTTTACGCCTACTAAACCAATCTTCAAAATATTTGTTGCCACAATGAAATTTTTCAACACTTAATGTCCGATGCTGTAAAAACCCGGTTTATTTGATTTGAGTATAGAGTTATCGCATTCATAACCGGATTTCATACCCGAAATCCTGGAGTTCCAGGAGCTTTATTTATATTGTTGTCTTTAATGTTATTAATGTTAACAGTCAGTCCTCAAACAATGAAACATAGGCCCAAAATAAGAATAAAGGTCATGCAATGCATTTAGAAAGCCCATAATTGAGTCCCTTTAAAAAAAGAAATTTTTCAATTTAAAAACTTAAAAATAAACATAAAACATTTGACAAAATATTACTATACATCTACATCTAGTATTTTGAAATAGAGTTGCCAATAATCGAAAATAAAAAATTTAGTTATCACCTTGCAAAATGTTAAAACTGTTTGTTTGTTTGTTGTGATGTGAGTATTTGGACCATCATTATTAAATTTTAATTGATAATTTGGCATAGTTTCATTTAAATTTATGGTTGGTTTGGCTTAACGGTAAACAATCAATCTTATGTATATATAATTGCTTTAGTAATATTATTTATATTTTTCATTGAAATTTTTATCTGGCAGTAATATCATTTTCATTCAACAAAAATAATTTGTCTACTGAAATTCAAAAGCAAAATCAAATCGGATCAATATGACGGTAATTCCTTCAGAAATATTAATTTGATTTTTTGTGTACAATTTTTTAGAGAAATTAATTTTCTTCTTTTTTAACTTCTTT